ATATATATATATATATATATATATATATATATATATATATATATATATATATATATATATATATATATATATATATATATATATATATATATATATATATATATATATATATATATATATATATATATATATATATATATATATATATATATATATATTGAAATTATGTTAGTAGAAAAAATGTTAGTATTTGATTGGTTATATGTTTTAGATGTATGATGCAATATAGAAAATAAGTCTGAATGGAAAAATATTTAATGCAAAAAAAATCAGGGCTAGTATTTAGAAAAAAAGAATTTTGATTAACAAATAGTTATTTTAATTATTAAAAATATATCAAGTATTTTTAATAAAATAATCTAATAACTATTTATTAATAATTATGCAAAAATATATTTAATCCAAAATGCTAAAAGTAATATGTGAATTAAATTAATTAAATAAAATAAGAAAATAAGATTAATAAAATAATTTAATTTAGTTAAAGGAGGTGTAAAAGTTAAATATAAGGTGTATTAGGAAAAATATTTGGACCAAAAGAGGTTTTAAGCCCAAACACTTGGGGGTATGTTTTACAACAGGGTAGTAAAATAAGGGGTCTGGAAAGTAAGGGGCCCATATGCATGCATGGGGGTGTATTTTGTGGTTAGAAGAAAAAACGTGGGGTGCGAATATAAGGGCCTTAAGCCCAAACGAAATAGGTTGAGGTTCATTGGGTTCGTGTATGGGCGAGCATACATGTGTTATGGTGGGCAGCAGGAGGATGTGCGTTTGATCGAGATTAGAGGATAGAGAGTGAGGGTGCATGGTAATAGTGACGCACATGATCACATAGAGAGTTATATTCAATTTCTTTTCATTTCTTCATTCATTTTCATCCTAACCTATCTCTCTTCTCTCTCGTTCTTATTCTTCCCACAACAACAACAAAACCTAACCCTCACAATCCTCAGGCGGCAGCGATCTGGAGCAACGAAAATCTTCAACCTAAACCCAACCTTCTAACCTTGATTTCCTTAAACAACACTGCAACAATGTCAATCACAACAATAACATAAGCTAAGCATAAAACTAACCTTCTCCACCGTGATTCTCTGTATTCTATTTCAATTATCCTCCTGATCCCTTCTTCTCCTTTTATTTGCAGGTGGCGACAGACGAAGACGACAATGATGATGGCGACGACACCATAGATCTAGGGTTTCAGAAATTGAAACCCATATCTCTTTTCTCCTTTTTCTGTTCTTCCGTTCGCAAATAATGTTAATAACAATAAAAATAATAATATTAATATTAATAATACTAATGGTAATAAATAAATGATAATAAATAAATGATAATAATTTAATCAAAGTTGACCTTAGTCATCAAAGTTTAAAACGGGCCAACATTTTTATTTATTGGTCCATCCTATTTTCTAAACGCACCTCCTCTGTATAGAACACACCTCAATTCTATCATGAAATCAAATAACAAGGATTTTAGCAATTTAATGAGTCGCAAAGACCTATTGGCCCAATCTGCAAAATAAAACAAAAATACACCCCTATTTCTTAAAAATAGATCTCGAAACTCTATTGGGCCATCAAATTTTGATGGTCTATTTAGAGTAATGCACCTCCCTTTTATCATTTTAACCAGGCCTCCAAAAGCTCTAACGAGCCCATACCCCTATATAACAAAAAGATACACTCCTCTTGTATTTAAAACGGGCTTCTAAAATACTCTTATAGACTATCAGATTTTGATGGTCCATAAACTCCCGTTATCTTCATTTAAACTCCAAATTTATAAATGGAACCACAAGTTTAATCGGCCATCAGATTTTGATGATCCATAGTACACCCCTCTTATGATTTTAAGCCCCCTCGAACAAGACTTAAAAATAAGCAAATTTACACAATATGATTTATAATTTTAGAAACATAGTAATAATATGATCAGTGAATTTGATGGGTAAATTTGGGGTATGACAGGATGCACCATACCTAATATGTAAAAACATATTAAACTAAAAAATATCCTAGGCAAATAAGAAAATGAAGTTGCTAGAAATAGCTGTTACAGGAACCGAAAGTACATTTCCTATTAAATTCATCTACAAATCAGAAATATACTTCTGGTATTAACGTGACATTTTTTTTCTCACAAAATGAACAAATTAATGTGATTAATGTAGATTGAAAAGAGGAAGCTTTACCTTAAATTCAGTTTTCTTTAACTCCTTTTGATATAGTGCACCACAAGAATGTTGATTTTGAGTGAAAAATGGTATTGAGAATGTGAGGGGTTTTTGGAGAGTATTTTGGTTACCTTTTGAAATGAGCATGATCAATACTCCACGGACCTTGCTGTTTTAAGATTTTGATTTCTCATAATAAACTAATTTAATTTAATTAGTTTAAACTTATGATTATTATAATATTTTTTGAATTTAATTTATTTTAGTTAGTAAGTTTAAAATAATTTAGTTTAGTTAGTAACTTTAATTTTTTTTAAATTTTTAGTTAGTTTAGAATTTGTTTATTTTATTTTCTATAGCTTATTTTATTATCTGTTTGACTAAATTCAAGGGAAATGACCATCTTATTGATTTTATGTCATTGTGCGTCTATTGCATGTTTATTTTTATCTTTTTATTTTGTTTTATAGAAAGAACATCATTCATTATATGAAGTAGAGAAAATACAAATAAAGTGAAAGACTTTGTGTTAGGGCATTTTCCATCCACATTCTAACAAGAACACTAAAACTAAGCCAACAAATATTTGGACATTAGACATAGAAAAGTTGGAAACCAGTAAGGTATTGCTAATCCCATTCCTTAAACCAAGCAACCAAACAAATTTCTTCCACAAAATAGAGTTAAATTTAGGAACCACAATCTTTAAATCTATCCAGTTACAAATCATTTCTTTAGCTTTGAATCACATAGTTCGATTATACATGTTCTTGAGATTGAATAAACTCACCATCTGTGGATGAATTGTTTGTTGAGTGGAAAAGAAAAACTGATTTGCAACCGCCATTATCAGATTCACACTCTTTAACACTTTTCCAACAACCAAACATATTTGAGACATTTCAACAAACACCTTGAGAGCAAACTTAAAATAAGTTGAACTTAAAAACAAAATCCACACCTGAAACAAAACGAAAAACAAAGTGACAACACAATATCTCAGAGATTGCAAATCTTTTGATGATGGAGGCTCTGGAGGAGAACATTTCTCATATTTGTTCACTTTTGTCCCCTTGGTTGGTGAAGATGGTTGTTGAGCTGCAAGGGTTTGACGGTTCTTAGTGGAGAGAAGTGAAACAGTGAAGAAGGTTGGAGGTAGCAAATGAATGAGAAGGGTAGGAGAAAACCCATAATAGGGGAAAAAGCTCTAATGAGGAGAGTACATCCTCATGTCGGAGGAGAAAAACACTAATGTCGGTGGAAAGACCTCTATCAAAGAGGAGGCGACGACCATTCATAATCACAACCCTAGTTTTTAGAGAGAAGAAATAGTTTCTCTCTCTAACCAAGTTTGTTTATTTTTATCTTATTTGTTTTTCTTTAGTTAAAACCTTTAATACCTTATTTTCAAACTTTAACAAAACCAAAACCTCGACATTAGATCGTTGCATTTTCAAAATTCTTTTGAATCTATCTTTTAGCAAACAACTAATTTTAATACACATATATTTCAAGGGGTTCCTGTGGAGTACCGTAGATGCATTGAGTGCTGGTACATTCCATTTGTATAACCAACCCCCATACCTTAGATCTCTTTATTGCATTGTTCTCGCTTTACTATTAGTTTTGCTTTTGCTTTATATATTTAGTTTTTTGGGTTTTATTTCGCTCTTTTCCCATTTCATTGGAAATAATAAAGCGCGGGTGGCGACTTCATTATATGAGTCAAGTCAATCAATAAGCAGATCTCAAAATTTTCACCACTATAATATACGAAAATTTATTATTGATCCAAATATTTTGTAAATAATACCTAAACAAAAATAAAATTTATATACAGGAAAAAAATTTATTATTGATCTAAATACTTTATATACAAAAAATGATATTTATGATTCAAATACTTATGATTAAAAAATGGTATACGAAAAAAATTTATCACTGATCTAAATATATATATATTTTTAATCTTTTATTTAAAATAAATATATTATATACACAAATGCGCGTATCAGACCAGAAACCTACCCGTATCTGTACCGTATGTATGCACAAGTTTATTATTAATTAAATGTATAAAAGCTATTATAAACAAGTATGAACTATTTGATGAGTCTAACATGCCTTAATCTTATAAATTGTGTGATACATAATCACATTTAAGTCATTTTGATAAAAGAATATACTAAAAAGAACAAACTAAAAATAATTTAAAATGATATGATTAAATAAAAAGAAAACATTTTTATAAAAACTAAAATGTAGAGAAGAATAGTATCTTCCACACGTCGCAGACCGCAGACCGCGTCGTAAGAGTTTCCATTAAACACCAGCTTCCCCTAACTACGTTGTTGTCTCTTGTCTACTCTCTCCAAACTTCTTGTTACAGAAAATAAAAGACACAGACAAAGACACACTCTAACTTTTCCTTTTCACGCTTCATTTTCTCCATTTTTTTTCTCTCTCCTTAATCATCTAAAAAGGTTTTTTTCACCTTTTTTTGTAACATACCGTAGTTCAACTTCACTTCAAATCAAATCTTAGTCTTTTCCTTCTACAATTCTTATCCCTAGATTTTCTCATCTTTCATCTTCCTTTTTTGGTATTCTCAATTATTTGACCTTATCAACTCATCTTCTTTCCATCTCTTGTTCGATCTTCACTTGCTCACCATTTCTGGATTCTACTGGGTTTCATTCAACTGGGTATTGCCAAGATCTACTGCATCGTTTGTTTTGGGTTTAAAGTTTTGATCTTTGTGGTTTACCAAACTGAATTACCGGTTTGGATCTGGTCAAGGTAGAAACAGCGCCATCACATGGCGCTGTTCAGAAGGTTCTTTTACCGGAAGCCGCCGGATCGCCTTTTGGAGATCTCTGAGAGGGTTTATGGTATATGCTTCCTTTCTAAATTCGTATCTTTTACTTTTTTCTTTCTTTCAATGTTAATTAATTCTTTCTTTCTTTGCATACTTCAGCTCATCAATTCAGGGAACTTATTGCAAAACTACTGAATTTTTAGTTTTTGCAGTTCCTTTAACGCTTAGAAGCTTTATTGGTAAAATTTAAATGATATCACTTTGAACGTTTGTGATATGTTAATGTGTAAGAACAATGTGGACCTTACTTGAACTTAGACTTGTTTTCTATCTTGCCATTGCCATTGTTATTTATCGCTTAGGATTTTTTATTGGTCAAGTATGGAAGACTTTATTGTATGTTTGGTTTATTTTTGCAACAGGCTTCAATAATTTTAGAGGTGTAGAATTGATTTTGGAATGATTTTGAGGTGTTTGGTTCCTCTAAAGTATAATTGATTCTGTCTACAAAATCGTTTTTACTTGAAGCTAGAATTTATAGCTTTTGAGTTTAAGCATGATTTTTACATTGAAATTGAAATTTACTATTCAACTCAATTTTGGATAAAGTTATCCAAACATAAATCACTTTACATTCAAATTTCTTTTAACCATAATCGATTCACTCAAAATTAATTTTTTACTTCAGAACCAAACATAGGCTTCGTTGTTCTCTTAAGGCTTACCTGGCTTGCAAGTTGTATTGTATCGGTTGCTTTATTTTGCATTGTAGGAAAGTTGGTAGTTGGCAGAATGAAATGGCTTCTACTGTTAATTTGTAGTAAAGTAAATTTGATTTTGTTATGTTTGTATAGAACAAGTTAATTTTCTCTCTATTTACTGTTTTTGGCTTTTCTAACTTGTTAAAATGGAAACAGTTAGTGAATTATTTTTTAAGTTATATGCTTCTACTTTACTATATATCCTTAAGTTTTGATTATTTGTTATTTGTATTTTATTTTTGCAGTTTTTGATTGTTGTTTCTCCACGGACGTATTGGAAGAAGGTGAGTACAAAGTTTATATGGGGGGAGTTGTGGCTCAGCTACAAGATCACTTTCCGGAAGCTTCTTTCATGGTGTTCAACTTCAGAGAAGGGGAGAGGCGAACCCAAGTCTCAGACATACTTTCTCAGTATGACATGACAGTTATGGAGTACCCTCGGCAATATGAGGGTTGTCCTCTTCTGCCTTTAGAGATGATCCATCACTTTCTTCGATCAAGTGAAAGCTGGTTGTCTGTGGAAGGGCAACAGAATGTGCTTTTGATGCATTGTGAGAGGGGAGGATGGCCTGTGCTGGCATTCATGCTAGCAGGTCTTCTGTTGTACCGGAAACAGTACAGCGGGGAGCAAAAGACTCTTGAAATGGTCTACAAGCAAGCTCCCAGAGAACTGCTCCACCTTTTAACTCCGTTGAACCCGCAACCTTCTCAGTTCAGATATCTTCAGTATATTTCCAGAAGACATCTGGGTTCTGAGTGGCCTCCGTCAGACACACCCTTGTACCTGGATTGTCTGATTCTTAGAGACCTCCCTTTATTCGATGATGGAAAAGGTTGCAGACCTGTTGTGCGTGTTTATGGTCCGGACCCTTCAAAACCTGCCAATAGAAGTTCGAAGCTTCTTTTCTCAACCTCAAACTCCCTAAAGCATGTTCGACACTATCAACAGGTTCTGTATAATTTACCTTATTGATACTGAATTGTGAATTCATTAGATAGAGTATTTTCTTAATAAAGTTTCATCACAGGCAGAGTGTATGCTTGTGAAAATTGATCTCCGTTGTCGTGTTCAAGGAGATGTGGTTCTTGAGTGCATAAATTTAAACGAAGATTCTACTGGTGAGGAGGTGATGTTTAGAATTATGTTCCATACTGCATTTGTGCGGTCAAATATATTGATGCTGAGCCGTGATGAAATTGATATTTTGTGGGATGCTAAGGATCAATACCCCAAGGACTTCAAAGCAGAGGTAAGTTATGATTATTATTCTGCAAAAAAACATTTTCTTAAGCAGTAGGACTTGAACACATACTCATAACTGTATCAGGTGCTTTTTTTGGACGCTGATGCTGTTATACCTGATCTGAACACAGTAACGGCGGCGAGTCAAGATGCAAATGAAACAGAAAATGCTTCACCTGAGGAATTCTATGAAGTGGAAGAGATTTTCAGCAATGTAGTTGATGTGCAGGAAAGTAAGGCAGAGGATAATTCTCAAACTTTTCATGACAATGCAGTGAATGATGGAAATCATAAAAGGATCTGGAGGGAGGATTCAGGTCCTCACGCTTTTCAGGATTGCACGCCAGATGATGGGATTCACACACAGGTTGGAAAGATGGATTCCGGTATTAATGATGTGAAAGATATCTCTGTTGATGATGTTAACTGCAAGTTCAATGTGAGCATGGATTCCGATCCTCAGGCAGTGAAGGACATTGCCATGGATGATGGAGAAATTAAGTCAAATTCCACTGCCATAAATTATGATATGATGGTACCTTTGGAAACAAAGGAAATCATTGAGGATGCTGATCGGGGATCAGCAATTATGCAGGACAAATATGATGAAGATAACGAAGCAACAGAGAAGGAATTAGATTACAAGGAAGGGCAGCCCATGCCTGATAGTTCCAAACAAAAATCTGGTAAACTACCTCCATCTACTGCTAAGAAACAAATTCCATCAAACTCAAAGCCAGGAGATACTGTTGGAAAACAAAAGGTTAAAGAAACCACTGCTTTTCAGGCAAAACAAGCTAAACCAACTGCAGTGACGAGGTGGATTCCTTCTAACAAGGGTTCTTACACAAATTCAATGCATGTGTATTATCCACCAACAAGGATTAATAGTGCACCACCTGGACTGTCAAATATAACCACTTCAAAGGAGAAAATGGACGATAACAAAACAAGATCCTTAGCTGCTCCTTTTGGCTCTGCAGCAGCTGTTTCTGCTGACATGAAAAATGACCTGAAAAGTCGGAAGGTGACCACTTCAAAATCTTTCGGCCAAGTAGTATCAGAAATTGATGCAAAATGTCCATTATCGCCGCCATCAGTTAAAGAGACATCTCTTAAGTCAGTAAGTCAAGTACAAGAGCAGAGCTCAGAGCAATTGCTACAACCTCTTGCACTGCGTCCTATTCCTCCTCCTCCTCCACCACCTTTGCCGCCATCCTTTTCATCATTTAGTAGACAAGACATTAGGGTGAATTTACAACCTGCAACTTCTCCCCCACCTCCACCTCCGCCACCACCTCAACCCTCATGGAAGTCTGTGGCTTCATCGATAGTTGGAGAGACTCGTGGTTCTTTCCCACTCTCTCCACTCGCCCTTCCCTTTGCAAGCAATGGAATTACATCAAAATTTTCTGAAGTACCTACTGAAGTGGCTCCATCAAGGCCTCCTCCACCACCACCACCACCACCACCAATCCTCCCTCCATGGCACGAAGTTTCAACCGTTCCTCTACTACCACCAACAGTACCTCCTGCAAAGCATGGAGTTTCATCAATTCCTCCTCCTCCTCCTCCCCCCTCATTTCCTATGTCTTCAACAAACATGTCTCCAGTCCCGCCACCTACAACTACATCTCAAAAAGCTCCACCCCCACCTCCACCTCCACCTCATCCACCCTTTGTTAATTCATATACAAGTTCACCGGCACCACCTCTATCTCCAACTCCTTTTCGTAAGGCTCCATCACCTCCGCCTCCACCTCCTTTTACTAATGCTCCAACAGAAATGCCTCCACCACCACCTCCACCACCACCTTTTACTAGGACTCCACCAGCACCACCCCCACCTCCTCCACTCCCTTTTAGTACATCTCGGTCTGCACCCTCTCTTTTTACTAGAGCTCCACCACCCCCACCCCCACCTCTTCATTTATTGGGTGGATCCCCACCTCCACCTCCACCTCCACCTCCTCCAGTGTCTAGAGCCCCTCCCCCTCCACCTCCTCCATTGTATGGAGCCCCTCCTCCTCCTCCTCCACCTCCTTCGATGTCTAGAGCCCCTCCACCTCCACCTCCTCCGACGCATGGAGCACCACCACCACCACCACTTCCCGGTGGTCGAGGACCACCACCACCACCACCACCTCCCGGTGGCCGAGGCCCGCCACCACCACCACCACCTCCTGGTGGCCGAGGAGGCCCACCTCCACCCCCTCCTCCTGGTGGTCGAGGAGGCCCACCTCCTCCACCTCTTCCTGGTGGTCGAGGAGGCCCGCCTCCACCTCCTCCTCCTGGTGGTCGAGGAGGCCCGCCTCCACCTCCTCCTCCTGGTGGTCGAGGAGGCCCACCTCCTCCACCTTTTCCTGGTGGTGCACCTCCACCACCTCCGCCCTTGGGTTCTAAAGGTGCAAATGTTGGAGCTGACCCAAATGGGAGAGGGCGTGGATATGCCCGCCCTGCTGCAGTGGCACCCCGGCGATCCTCCTTAAAGCCTTTGCATTGGAGTAAGGTTACAAGGGCATTGCAAGGAAGTTTATGGGAAGAATTACAAAGACATGGAGAACTGCAAATGTAATTCTTGTCCACTTTTGCATGTGCCTTTTTTAATCATTTAGATTTTGTATGTGTACACTGTTTTTCTTGTTATCAGTATTCCCATGTTTGTAATGACTGATTTCATGTTCTTTTCTAGTGCACCAGAGTTTGATGTTTCGGAGCTAGAGAAACTTTTCTCTACAAATGTTCCAAAACCCACCGATTCAAAATCTGGAGGGAGGCGCAAGTCTACTGGATCTAAACCCGATAAAGTTCAATTGGTATTATTCTATATGAATATTAATGAAATTAGATTTTTAAAATAAGGCATGTGTGATTCGTTCCTTAAAATAAGCAGTTTCCGTTGTCACTTATCTTGAATGATCAGATAATTACTGTCAACTTTGCTAAGGAGACTCATGCACACTTTTCTCTAGTTTTAATATGTAAATAAAAATATCCAGCCCACTTTGATACATAACCCATAATCATTGTTAACTGTGATGATTATCTCCACAATAACTATTGATCTATTATTGTCCCTTCAGTTCACTGCCTCTTTTATTTTTCATGATTAAAGTTCTGATGCTTAAAGTTTTATGAATTGTTGGGTGCATATCGATGTTTCTTTTTATTCATCAGCGCTTAAAGCCAATATTTGTTAGAAACTCATTGATTGGATCTTTATTTTGGTGCTTCCTAAATAACTGTCATTGAACAGTAATTTTTGTGTTTGTATTATTTATGGGCAGGTTGACCTAAGGAGGGCTAATAATACGGAAATCATGCTTACTAAGGTTAAGATGCCACTTCCTGATATGATGGTAAGCCGATACTTTGATATCTTCATTTTTTTTAATTGTGCTAGATGAGTGATTTTAATCAAAGCATTTTATATTGAAAACTATTAAGATGTGGTTGGGCCTAATTCAACCCTACAAAACCGGCTTGTAGGGTGAGGATTGCCCCCACTTATAAACACATGTTCAGGCCATATATTGTCCGATGTGGGACTCTTAACACACCCTCTCACGCCCAGGACTAGACAACTGGAGCGTGGAAATAAATGGTGGATGGCCCACTGGATCTTAAACGAGGCTCTGATACCATATTAAGATGTGGTTGGGCCTAATTCAACCCTACAAAACCGGCTTGTAGGGTGAGGATTGCCCCCACTTATAAACACATGTTCAGGCCATATATTGTCCGATGTGGGACTCTTAACACACCCTCTCACGCCCAGGACTAGACAACTGGAGCGTGGAAATAAATGGTGGATGGCCCACTGGATCTTAAACGAGGCTCTGATACCATATTAAGATGTGGTTAGGCCTAATTCAACCCTACAAAACCGGCTTGTAGGGTGAGGATTGCCCCCACTTATAAACACATGTTCAGGCCATATATTGTCCGATGTGGGACTCTTAACAAAAACAAATATTCTTTTGCAAGAAGCATTGCACTTCTTAAAATGTTTTTTGTAATTGGATTGTTATATGTTAATACTATAGGCAGCTGATAGGAGGTATTGACAGTAACACTATTTTTTCACGTTATATCTACTACATCCGACCCCTCCCGAGCCCATAAAATGGGAGCCTCGTGCACTGGGTTACCCCTTTTATATCTACTACAAATTTCTAACTTATGAAATTTCCACCTGTAATCTTCAGTGTCAAATACCATTTTTCCTAACATGTTGAAATGAATACCCTTAGGCTGCAGTACTAGCTTTGGATGAGTCAGTATTAGATGTTGATCAGGTGGAAAATCTCATTAAGTTTTGTCCTACCAAAGAGGAAATGGAACTTTTGAAGGTGAAGTTTAATCACTTTATCCATACTTCTTTTATCTCGTTATGACAATTATGTTTCTAGTTCGGTGCATCTGCTTTTACACAAATATGCGTCCCCCTACTTTGATTTGTTTGCTTTGCTAACTTTGATTCCTCTGTTTATAATTGTTTAGGCATACACCGGCAACAAGGAGAATTTGGGAAAGTGTGAGCAGGTGTGAAATGATTTATTTAAGTCATTGCATTATACGTGATTGTTATTAATAGAACATGTTAATTGATATTAATAGAGTGTGTTAAGTAAGACATTATATGGGATATCTTTTGCTAATTGTTATTAGTAATAGAGTGTAAAGTAATGATTTGTTTGTTCATCTTCATAATTGATTTCAAAAAAATATGCAAGGAGGTGGTACGAATGATGACAGAATAATGTAGCAAGCTACCAAAACTGTAATGTGTATGAAATTAAAACTTATCCACAGATAAATTGACAGTGTTTGGTTGCCTGTGAAAGGAAAGTTGATTTAGTGTTTACAAATCCCCATTTTTCCCTTTAGATGGTTGATTATAAACCAATTCTTTTGGTCTTTGTTGATTCAAGTTCCTATTATAAACATGCGTTTGTAATCATATTATATTTATTATTTTGTTGTTTCAGTTTTTTTTGGAGCTGATGAAGGTGCCAAGGGTGGAGTCAAAGTTAAGAGTTTTCGCTTTCAAAATTCAGTTTCAGGCTCAGGTTTGGTTGTGTTAGTAATATTTTTCTTTGTTTTGTGGATTTGGTATGTTTCTTCAGTTATTATACTTTCCACTTTAATGCAGGTTACCGAATTTAGGAAGAGTTTAAACACAGTAAACTCTGCCTGTGAAGAGGTACGTTGCTTAAGCAACTGCAAACATTATGCTGTTTGAACTTTTTTTACCTTGAGCATTTTTTTTCTTTGTTATAGGTCCGGAAATCTACCAAACTGAAGGATATCATGAAGAAAATTCTTTTTTTGGGTAATACATTGAATCAGGGAACTGCCAGGGGTAAGTTTTTTTTAGTTGCGGCAATTTCTTATCGTTATTCATTTCTGGACATGGTAAATGGAGGTAGACTTGGTGATGCTAGCTCTATTTTTAACATTCAGATAATCACTGGCTGTTCCTATTTGTCGTTAGACAAACTTTTATGTGATTCTATTAGGATTTGGATCCGCTATTGTTTGAATCAAAGATGAGAGGGTCATGTTCATCATCTCACTATTCAAATTTATTGAACCCACTTATATATTATTGAAGTTGTTAAACCTAATGAATTTTAATTGGGAGATGAATCATGTTTGATTCGAATATTAGAGGATCCAACTCTATTCTATTAAATCGTATCTAATGTATTATTCCCAGTTTATTATACTATCAAATGTTCTATTTTTGCAGGATCTGCAGTTGGATTTAAGTTGGATAGTCTTTCAAAGCTCACCGACACTCGTGCTACTAACAATAAGATGACACTAATGCATTATCTCTGCAAGGTATGAGTATCAATTGCAATAAACAAAAATATCATTTGGTTGCTAACCCTTTTTTTCTCTTTTTCCAGGTGCTAGCTGAAAGGTCGCCTGGACTCCTTGATTTTCACAAAGACCTTGTTAGTCTGGAAGGCGCCACTAAGGTGATGATTTAGTTTGGTTCGATATAGCCCCCATTCCTGCCAAAAAAGCTCGACTACACTTTACTACCCAAGTTTGTTGGTCCAGTTTCACTTTTCCCTTGCTTGTAAAATTGAACACTAAGCACATTCTTTCCTGTTTAAATGAGTAAGATATAACTAAGTTTTAGAAGCCAGTGAGCGGGGAAGTGACTCTGAAATTATCAACTTTGAATGTACCCATGATTTACCCATGGGTCAAAGTTGAAATGGCTATTTGCATTTTAGCCAAAAGAAAATACTTTTGGGATAGATAGGAGGACTTGATAACTTTTGGGTATGAGGTAATGAGATTACAATGTGAATTGAATTGACACATGAATTCTTTCAGATACAATTGAAATCATTAGCTGAAGAGATGCAGGCAATCACCAAGGGATTAGAAAAGGTTAAACAAGAGCTTGCTGGATCAGAAAATGATGGACCCGTGTCCGAAGTTTTCCGTAAGGTGTTTATTTTTTATTTTATTTCATTTCAGGCTCTTGATTCCTTGTTATATCAGCAATATAGCAATAGCAGTGACAAAAAAAGTTCAATTTCTAATTTAAATTCACAGTGCCGGTTTCCCCCATCACGGATGTAGTTGATTGTGTAGTTGTTTGTGACTATCATAATCAGTTAATCAATAATCATTTCTTCATATCTTTTGAGTAACAGAGAAGATCTCAACTCTTCACCTAAATTTTAATGCACATATGCCTATGGAATAGTGTGTGTCTATCATTCCCTTGTTTTTCATCAACAGTATGACTATCTACATACAATCTTTATATTTCTTTTTTTCACATAAACATTGTGTCAAAAAAATGGAGATTGAGATCTTTGATTTTCTTTTGATCAGTAATCATATTTTCCATCATATTACATGGACTAATCTAATTCTACTTTATCCGATTTATTATCTAGTTTACATTTTTTTAATGTTCTGTTCAGACATTGAAAGGATTCATTACTGTAGCTGAATCAGATGTGGCAGATCTGACAAAATTATATTCTACAGTGGTAATGTTCTTAACCATGCTTTTGGCAAATTAAACACCAACAAAGAAATAAAATGATCGAGTAATTTGACTATGTATGGACAGGGTAAAAATGCTGATGCACTTGCACTGTATTTCGGTGAGGAGCCTTCTCGATGCCCATGTGAGCAAGGTAAATTGATCATTAATACCTATTCATATTATGGTATAACATATGGCCGTCGGTCTTGCTTACTGGTGACTTATTTATTTTATAAGAACATATTTCATTAATTTTATTCATCTGATGTTTGTATGGAAAGTACATTTTTCATCATTTGTTGCATTTATGGTTGGGACATGTGTGTATTTTATATTCTAGAAATTAGGCTTGATGTAGATGGTTTTCTTCTCTAGGCTTGATGTTCTCTTGTTTATTTCAATAATGCTTAAGCTAACTTATTTTTATTGCTGGTTTAATCATTGCAGTTACTGCAACTCTATTAAATTTTATAAGGTTGTTCCGAAAAGCACATGAAGAGAATTGCAAACAAGCAGAACTAGAGAAAAAGAAAGCTGAGAAAGAGGCTGAAATGGAGAAGGCTAAGGGCGTTAACTTAACAAAAAAGAGTGGAAAAGATAGTTGATTACTCGGTTTTCTGCTCCTTTGCACCGACAACCTGCTCTTACCGAAGGGCGGAAATCCAACCATGCAAGGTGAATGCTTTTGAGGCCAGTTATGACTTACGACTTTCGAAGATTCTCTTTCCACGACGATGATGTGGTTTCAATCTTATCTATTGAAGGTGGAATAGAAAATTCATGCCAGATGGGGACTTTGAATATACAACAAGCTTAGGAGTTTGATTCTTTGATGGCATGCTGAATGAGAATTGTATGGTCAAGTGATCCTTTTTGTCAGAAGACTAGTTTTGAGTTTATTCCAAATGGGTCTTTGGATTTCTGGATCTTTCCCAAGCTAGGACAAGACATGCCGTGGTGGATGCTTATCATGGAACTTGAGCGCATTTTTCTCGAAACAGATTGCTCAAATATGCCATATGCATCCTCCAATGAATGCTATAAAATGATCTATCCCGTCCATCTCATCACGGTTCAAGAAGAAATTTTGTGGCAGAACATGCTTTCTGTTTCTGTAGAACTGGCATCGGCTTGCATCGATCATTTGCCTTATTTTGTCCAGCACCAGAGCAGAAACTTTCTGGATTTGAAAACCCCTGCAACTGTAGTACCATAAAACCTTTGTACAAAACACTAACCCTTTCCTTTAGGATCAAATTCTTTTTCATCTAACATAGAAATTAGATTTCTTTTTTATGGAAATTTTGGTAGATACCATTCAGAAAATTGTTGTATAGCTTCTAGGTTGAGAGAAAATAGAAATCAGGTCAATGTATTATTTGTAACTGTAATATATAAGTGAAGAGAACTATAGAAGGTCTAATTAGAAATGCAATGCAGGTTTCATTTTTTGTGTGAAATAAATAACCAAGTGTAAAATGTTTTTGTAACATTCTGATTCACACAAATAATTCCAAGTTTTTAACTTCCTCATCAATTAACCAGTTATTATTTTTTGTATTTTGAACCTAATGCTATTTTCTGCAATTAACTGTATTATGTTAAATGGGTAATTCCTTGTGTCGAAGTAGGACGTTGCTTGACGCAAAGTGTGTCGAAATAGGTGTTTCACATAAATTTGATTTAGTTTCAAAATATATATTATATTTTTGGCTTTTTTTTGGTTCGTGGAGTAAGCTAATTTAAATTTATAAATAGAGGGGGTAATTCTATTTTTTGTAATCGAGTTGTATTCACAGAATTTGCAGTTGCAAGTGAATAAGAAAGTTTTTCACAATTTGTGGACAGAGAGAAAATCTGTAGAAAATCATTGTCTTTTTCTTTTTTTCATATTATTCATTGTCATTGTGTGGTGATAACAATCTTGTTCATTAAGGTTGATAGAAATTCATTATAGTTTTTGGTGGATTTTCAACATCTGGTATCAAGAGTTCTGGTTGAGCGTCAAAGGAAGAAGAAGAAGGGAATCACGATGGCTATAAATCATCCAAACGGACATTTTTCAGCAAGTCTTTCAATTTTTAAAGCCAATAACTATGAGAATTGGTGCAAGCAGATGAAGGCTGTGATTTGTTGTCAAGATTTTTGGGATCTTGTGAAATATGGATTAGAGCCGCTCGAAGAAGATTCCTCAGAAGAAGAAGAGAAGGAATACAAAGAATCAAAGAAGAAAAATTATAAAGCTTTCTTTATAATTCATCAATATCCGGGTCCAGACAATTTCGAAAAGGTTAGTGATGTAGAATCTGTAAAAGAAGCCTGAGAGATTCTTAAGAAATCTTTTGGAGATGCAGAAAAGGAGAAAGAGGTGAGATTACACTCACAAAAGAATGTATGAATTGCTTTAGATGGAATATAGTGAGAGCATATAAGATTTCTTCACTAGGGTTACAGAACTAGTGAATAAAATCAAAGTTTGTGGAGAGACGTTAACAACAAGAGCTTTTTTTTCAAAGATCTTGAGATCTTTGGCCCCAAAGTTTGACCATGTGATATTTTCCATAGAAGAGTCGAATGACATGTCATCTTTGTCGAATGAAGAATTTCAAGGGACGCTTGGAACTCATGAACAAAGAATGGATGAGAGAGCTGCAGGGAAGTCAAAGAGTGATGTGATTTTGCAGGATCAATCATCAAAAGATAAGAAATGAAAAGGAAAGTGGTTCGACAACAAAGGTAAAGGTGGCTACAACAATTCGACTGATAGAGGAAACCAACACGAAGAAAACGTGTCGAATCAGAGAAGATCATACCAAGACAATCAAAGAGGTGGTGTTGCTAATAGAGGACGAGGTGGTGGTCGAAAGCCTGACAAGAGTCACATTCAATGTTACAATTGTCATAAGTATGGTCACTATTCTAGTGATTGTCCAGAAAAGAGAAAGAATCAAGAAAGTGATGTAAATTTTGCAAAACATGAAGAAGAAGAGATGATGCTGATGGTCACAACAAAAGATGAAGAGAAATTCAAGGACCAATGGTAGTTGGATCCAAGATGCTCATCACACATGTCTAGAAGAAAAGATTGGTTTGTCAACATAAAACCCTCGATGAAGAACACAGTGAAATTCACAAATGACAATACCCTAGCAGCTGAAGGTATTGGTGATGTTATGATTATGAGGAAAGATGGCAAGAGGTCAGTAATTTTCAATGTGTTGTACATACCAGACATGAAGAGCAATTTGCTCAGTATAAGACAATTGGCCGAAAAGAATTATAAAGTGTCAATCGAAGACAAGATGACGAGAGTCGTCGGCGCAAATGAAAGGTTAATCTTGAAGGCTCATATGTCTCAAATAGGACTTTTAAGATCGAACTAAATATGATGAAGTGTAAATGCCTAGCAACTGCAACTAGCAGAGATGGGTGGATATGACATTATCGACTTGGCCATATTAACTTCAAAGGCATCAGAGATTTGAAAAGAAGAAATATGATTTCGGGGTTGCCAGAAATCGACATTCCAAACGAGTTGTGTGATGAATGTGTGTAGGCGAAGCAACACAAGAACAACTTTAGCAAAGATGCAGGAAACAAGTCGAAGGATATTCTTGAAATTATATACTCTGATGTATGTGGATCAATCCAGGTGGATTCGAATGGAGGTAACAAATATCTTGTTACATTCATAGATGATTTTATTCGAAAAATATGGACTTACCTGATCAAGAAGAAAAATGAAGTGATCGAGATATTTGCCAAGTTTAAATCTATGGTTAAAAGAAAAAGTGGTCGAAAGCTCAAAGTTTTGAGAACTGATGGTGGTGGAGAGTGTTGTACCCCAATTTTTGTCCCTAAGATCCCTTCGTCATACCATATTGATTCAATTACAACAAGATCACATTAGGGCTTTTGGTTCTCCTCTCTACCTTTAGCTTTGCTCTTTGAGGAATCACCAAGCACCTTGACTTGTTTTATTTTGTGGTCATGAATATTTTGTCTTGATTTTTCCTTTTAATTAATAAAATACAATGTTGGTTTGTCTTGCTTATTACTAATGTCGGTAAAGGCAATGAGATTTAACAAGTTGCTCCATGGGTTCATGAGTTTATTTTCATGCCTTAGTCAATAAAGCTTGAGAAGTTCAAACCTCACCATTGGATTTGTTTTGGAAGAAATGGCATGGCAAGGTTATTTTGGTTCACCACATTTCAAGGTTATCAAATTTGATTCAAAAGTACAAGGGGTTGATTGAAGAAGTTGTCATACTTGGACAAGGCTTTGTTCCCATTGGTCACAAGTGCACATTTCTTTCAATTCTTAAGATATGGAAATGGTTTTGGTGGCTATGAGTTCTCATTTTCATCTTTAACAACTTTTATTTACAAAGCATTTGTGTTGGTACAAGAAGTTTGTTCAAAATTGTCAAAGTTCCTCAAAGCATTTTCTTGATCTAGGAGCTAGGGTTTTGAACTTCAAAGAAGCATATCTTGCTCATCTTTTGGTATTTTTGAGTGATTATAAAAACATAATTCTCTTCAAAGGGTTATCAACAAATCACTTCAAAAGTTTCAAGGAGTTTTCATGTGGAAGAAACTTGATGTTGAAGAAAGATTACAAGTCTTCCAGATGAACCCCTAATTTCTCATGTGTGACTTCAAATAATCATAACTTGGTCAATTTTTATCACCTTGAGCCCATTCGTTTTCCACAATGATCTTGAGGACGTGAACTTTATGCCTTCTTTTATGTGCAAAGTGAGAAAATGGATGGAAGATGCCCTAAGGATACAAAAGATTATAGGTCCTTTCATGATTTTTTGCCAACTTCAACAATTCATAACTCTCTCAATTTTTGGATATTTTGAATGGTTCAAGTTTCAAAATGTCATTCAAGAGGTCTATTTCATACCATCTTTTTTGGTCAAGAGCAAATTTCAAGTGGAAGACCATGTTTGAATGCAAAACATTATAGGTCACTTTTGAAGAAAAACTTGAAATATTTCTAAGTATGGAAAGTCAACTTCTTTTTTCCCCAACTTTGACTCAATGCAACTTGCAACTCAAGCGTCCATTTGATTCCATTATTTTTCCATTGCAAAGCTTGTAACCTCATCTTTCTAAAGCATCAAGAATCACGCCCTAAGACCCTTTGAGCTGAGAATTCCATTGATTTGAACTTGGTAACTTGGAACTGAAGTTTCTTCAAAAGTCAGATTTTGAAATCATTGATTTAGCTTCTAAACACTTTGTTTCTGCGCGTTTTTACCTCTAAACATGTTTACTGAACTTCCAGAAGTGATTAGCACAACAAAACACATGTTTTGGATGAGTTTTGATCAAATTAGAAGTCACACTTTTCTTGTTTGCAACTTCACATGATTTTCCTCCAAACTTCATCATTTCACACGCTTGGACATTCCATTTGATTCCCTATAAATAGAGGGTCATCCCCCATTCATTTCCTCAAGCTTGGATAGCCAGAGTCACCCTGCCAAACTTGTTCCATAACTCAAAATTCTACAACTTCGAAATCTGTTTTCAAGCCTTTTTCAATCCAATTTTTCTATCAATTTACCTTCCTTGATCTTCCCTGAAGCTAACCATATAATTACATTCAAGAATCGTGCCATATAGAAGTCCAGTTTCAGAGCTCTGCAACTCAACTTTAATAGGTAGATTCCTTTATCAATTCTTCAAAACTTTGATATCATTGTGATACTCTCATTGCCCTGATTCTAATCGCAACACTTACTTTTATCTGGAAACTTGTTTCGACCATGAAATTTCAAATCCCTTTTCAAATCTTTCTTTCCAAATTGCTTGAGCTACAATTTATATAAATTTATCGCGAAGGTGTAGTTGTCTTTGTCTTGAAGAGACGAAGCGAATGGCATAGGTCTCGTGCTCTAATTTTACAGATTGAGCAACCTGGTTTTGGGACTGGCTGGAGGTTGAAGATGACCAACGTGTCATCCTTCAACCAATGAAACAACACCATTTGGATTTTTTGAATTTCTGATTTACATTTGATTCAATGCTTTATTCACTAATGACCATGATATGCACAACGCGCCAGATCCCTTGGATTTGATTACTAACGCGTTTTGACTCTCATCCAATGATTCACATATTTTTGACTTTATTTTTCTTCTTCTGATTTTTATATTTAAATGTTTTAAATTTCAAAAAATCATAGAAAATTCATTTTTAG